TTTTTGGAATGTATAGCGCGCATTTCGAAATTTTAGCATCTAGCGCTTAATCCAGCGCTTTTTGGTGTATTTAGCACACATTTCAATATTTTAGCGACTAGCGGGTTATTAACTCTTTTATAGCAGCACTGTTAGTCCACATTACCGATAATAATAATAATGACCTTTATTATTTTTTCCCACAAATAGTACATTGCAGTTTATCTTTTTCAAACATATTTTTTCCACAAAGCAAAGAGCATGGGAGACGAGTCCAAACTAGGATACCCTGTGCTATGGATCTCCTGGCTTCCCCTTTAGGATGATCAACTTGATTTTTTTACCGACGACTATAAGCGGGGAAATCCCCTTTATTAAAGTTTTCGTTCATGGTTTTGGCAACGCATTTATTTTGCTTTATTCAGTTTCAGTCAGTTGCTTAGAGCACAGCTAAGTTAAAAGTTACTTAGAAGTTATAACACAAAGAAACTGTGTAGCAACCGCAATCAGATGCTGACATCTGAAACTAAGTTGCGAAATACATTGCACTTTAAAACAATTAATGACATTTTTATTGTTCGTACAGTACTAACTACTGTTGATAGCAATTGCTATAATTATAAGTCGATGTCCTGCGAAGTATTGATACATCAAAAAAATATTGCCAGAAAAAAAACTTAATGTTGTTTTCTTTATTATGATTATATAAAAATACACAAACTTTGTTTGTAGTTAATTTAGCGCGAAATCTAGGGCTTTTTTAAAGCGCTGTTTTCATGAAATCTAGCGCTTTTTGTGTTGTCCTAAAGCTGAATGAGTTTTTTTTATCTGGCAGCACTGCCCAAAAACCCTCTATTAAGAAGTAACTTTCCTTTCAGTTTTAAGCGCGTTCAGTTCCCAGTTACAGTGAGTTTATGTTATGCGATGACCGTAAATAAAGCGCAAGGTCAAACTTTACGCGTTGTAGGAGTGTACCTCAGTACTGACTGTTTTGCACATGGCCAACTCTATGTTGCTTTTTCCCGCGTTAGTAGCCCCCATAACCTTTTTGTGTACACCCCGGCTAAGCCTACTTCTAACGTCGTTTACACAGAAGCTCTATCATAAACGACTTAGAACTTTGATGATAATGATTTATTTAGTTACCACTTATTGATACAGTAATGAAATAAATCGTTTAATATTCTCTTACCTAAACGACAAATTCTTTATGTAAAACCTGTATACGCGAGCTACGCCGCGGGCACAGCTAGTATTTAATAAAACTTACCGAAAAATAACATTGGCAGACACCTATGACGGTTTCAAGGTCATGGCACACAGGTTCAAAAGTACAATTTTTTATTAATAATTTACGTTATTTCAATAAATCTGCAATTTATATATATATATTGTTGATAATATTTACGTGGTAGAGCCATGCTGCAGCTATATTACTGGTATAATTGTAGCACGAATGGGTCGGCTCGACCGGGGAAGCACCACGCTCTTACAGAATACCAGCGTAAAATAGCAGCTTAATGCTGCAGTGTTTCGTCTGGTGAGTGTAGAGAACCGGAGACCCTTTTTACTGGAAAAGAGGCATTCCATCTTAGTCCTCACGGGTGACAACGCATCTGAATTTTGATTCGTAATCGAGGATAGATGTAGATGTCTATGGGCCACAGCAACCACTTACCATCAGGTGGACTGTGTGCTCGTTTGTCACCCTTATCCTAAAAAAAATAAAATATTATTTGACATAATATATAATGTATAGTCCCACCAACTTATCTGTGAACTGATAGCTGCGGCAAAATTGTGAACTACAGCCGCCATTTAATCAAATGTCACTCGATACGTCATTGTTTTGAGAGTTTATAGAAAAATAAAAAATGCCGAAAACCATTAAAAGTGGTGCCCGAAACATTATTTTATAAGTATTAAACTTTTGTGAAGAAGAAGCTCGAGTGTAAGCACCGATAATGCCTTTCAATCAGGTCTATAAAAGAGTATCAGCTGGTACAGCTATGTTTTGTTCCTTCCTTTCGTATTTCCGATAAATGGATTGGTTAATGCAATTCATTTCTTTTTCAGATCTTAGGCAAGGATTCATTTCCAAAATAGTTATAGAACCGGAAACCGCATAAACCACAGGAACGCAAATTACAACGCCCGGTAAAAAAGGCATTAAGGCATATCATTTAATTAAAGTTTAAATTGTTCAATTATGATATTTTTGTTTCTTCTTGTTCTTGGCCATATATCTGTTAAATCTGTGTTCTAGTCTTTTTATTCCGTGACTAATTTATTACCCTAGTATGTGGACTCTATGTAGGAATATAAGACCCTTAGATGGGAATATTCCCGAACTGGCAACACTTCAGCGCAGAAGCGCCAAGCTGTCAGTTCACAGATAAGTTGGTGGCACTATACTCTGTGATTTGACATGTATAATTTTCACGGCAGACACATATTGTGGTTGTATCACCCAGACAGACCACAAACTTCTGGGGCGCCCATAAGCGCGTACTATAATAGCGCTCGCTCTAATCCAGTCTTTTTCTTTCTAGTTTTGTACACTCTGATACGGATATCATAATAATCATGCTTGGTAATATGCTACATTGAATAATTTAAAATTTTGTACAGCCAACTTCCATATAGGTTATTAAGAATAACTCAAAAACTATTGGTCTGACCTTGATCAAATTCATATGGGACCACACGAGAAGTATCAGCTTACAAATAAAAAAGAATCCTAGAGGCCTAGAGATTTAAAATAGAAAAGGCCGTTTTAAGTGTTTTTACCATTGTTGAAGATTTTTTTTTCTAGACAATTAAGATGTTTTTTATAAATATCACACGGTGAAAGTGTAGACCCATCTATTAACTAATTGAGATTTTTTGTGGTGTTATTCAATGAAGTCAGTACTTTAATATTTTTAAAACCGTAACTGCCTATTTGCGCGATATTTAAGTACCGGCCTCTTAAGAGACCTAGCCTCCCCCACCAGCGGGAGAAGCGCATGCCCAGTAATGGTCTTTTAAGCGTTGATAAAGAAGATATTAAATTCGCCGGAGATATTTTAGTAATTCAGTTGGAAGGGACAAATTCAAAGGACACTCATTCGCCCTAAATACCCGTGTCCGATACAACGCTCATGCGATAATATCAGAGGTGAGCTAGGTAGGGCACAGTGTCAAAGGCACGGGACTTTGCAGTATTAATCTTTGAACGCAGGCGTGGATATTGTAGTTTGAGTTTGATTCGTCTGTTGTCCATATGTCACGGATTTTAAACGGAAGAAGTTAGACCTAAAATTTCGTAATTTTGTGTACAAACAGTACAAAAATTGGAAATTTAATTAAATTATAGCGGGAAGTTGCAGAGATGGCCTGTAGAGACAACTGTTTTTTTACATGGTAGCAGCTATATTGTGGTTGTATCACGAATGGATCGTCTCGACCGGGGAAGGACATCGCTCTCACAGAATATCAGCGTAAAATGGCAGCTTAACGCTGCTGTGTTTCGTATAGTGAGTGTAGAAACGAAGACCCTTTTTACTGGAAACGAGGCATTCCGTCTTAGTCCTCAGGGGTGGCAACGCATTTACATTTTGATTAATCGAGGATAAATGTAGATATCTATGGGCCGTGGTATGTGTGCTTGTTTCTAACCCTTATTCTAAAAAAACAGTTAAATAGTCGAATTTCAACGTGGCATCGGATCTAAAAGTATTGTTACACCGCCAAGCCAGTACACGATTGATATGTATGTAGTGGTAACATATTTTATATAATCAAAGTAATAAAACGTAGAGTACTATTATATTATCGTGGAGTTATTGAAAAAATATTATAATACTACTGTGATTAAGTAGCGATTGAGTTCATTCGACCTTGACTCCGTTATTTGTCGGCGACGGATTGTGAATTACATCTATCCAGTATCTGTATAACTCGTTGCACTAGTTAAATAATAAAATATATTGATGTAATTAATGTTTTTCTTATTTATGTATATAAAGTGGTACCTATACCATTCGTTTTTTTGTAAAATTACTTAAATAAAACATCATAGTGTATCAGCCTACAAATGATCCACTCTTATTACACCATACAAATAAATAAAATTGAAGTGTCTGTTTGTAAAATCAAAATAACAGTTTTTTTTTTACTAAATGCACGTGAAAGTATATACGGTACTTATTACAAAAACAATTTTTAAAATGTTTGTCTGTCTTTCTGTTTGTTTCATCTAACATCCGAAACGGATGGACCGATTTTATCGGGACTTTTACTGGCAGAAAGCTGATGTTATAAGGAGTAACTTAATCTACTGTTATTTTGAAAAAAGAATTAGGGTTCCGTGGAACAAAAAACCACGAAATCCAATTGTAATAAATCCCACGTGGGTGCAGTCGCGGGGAACAACTAGTATTTAAATAAAATTGAAGTATCTGTCTAAAATATCGAAATAACTGGCTTATATTGAGCTGTGGGCGTTATTTGCATGCCTAATGACAGACATAAATAACCATTGTTTTTAAAAGTTTGCCTGTCTGTCCTTCTATTTGGGCTATAATCTTCTGAACAGATTCGATCTAGGTCATACCTATTTAATTCAAAAAACTTAGAGATTTAAAAAAATAATCGAAACATTGACTATAGGTGGATCAAGGCGGGTTGCAACAAATAAATAAATATATTACTCTAGTAAATGTTAAATGCCGTACAGAGAGCTATAGCTCTTGTATGTAACAGTATTTATTCTGTGGCTATAATAAATCCATATTTACGATTTAGATATTTACAAATTTACAATAAAGATAAGGGTAATCTTAATGGGTAACAAACATCAAGAATACAAGATTATGTCGTATATGATACCACAATTATTGAGCCGTACAATATTATACAGTATCGCAAAACTCTTCAGATAATACCGATAAGTATAAGTCGCAGTTCACAAAAGACTGCGAGTTCCTCACTCACTTCGTGTTCTCGAACTGACGCGGGTGGTTAAAAAAAAAATAACAATGGCATCGAAGGTTCCGGTTGTGACTTTTAATAACGGAAAATCTATTCCCGTTTTAGGATTGGGAACATGGAAGGTAACTTTTTAATAATTATTATAGATGAAAAATTACGTAAGGTTAATTAATTATTACGATATTTAGACATAATATCATACATAATAAAACTTAGGATATCGAAAAAAAACTTGCCAAACAAAAAATTTTCAAGCTTATTCATGTTTATGATCGTGGACATAGACTTACGAATATATTCTATATATAGAGTACTACAAAAAAATTATGTACAAAATAATTAAATTTGAAAAATATTAGAATTATTTCATGCTGATTTAATAACTTATATAATCAATAAATAAATATTTAATTATAAATTGTAAGAAAACGAGTGAAAATTTTAAAATTATATTATACCTACCTACCTATACTTTTCTGTCGACTTCCAAACCGGAGACGGTACTCAATTCGACTGTATGCTTTTTATGTGTGTTACCTCATAACTTATTACTGGGTGAACCGATTTCGATGACTCTTTTTTATTTAAAAGCTGGTACTTCTTATGTGGTCCCATATGAATTTGATCAAGGTCAGACCAATAGTTTTTGCTGTACAAAATTTTTTATTATTTTTAATAACACATTCTTACATTGTCATCCGAATCTGACCTGTGTACAAAATTTCAAGTTCCAAGCCCATGAGCAAATTAGTTTAAACTTTTGAAAATCAATTACTGAATTCGACCCTAAGAGTAAACTTTTTTTTTATAGGATAAAGGTGACAAACGAGCACACAGTCCACCTGATGGTAAGTGGTTGCTGAGGCCCATAGACATCTACATCTATCCTCGTTTGCGAATCAAAATGCAGATGCGTTGTCACCCGTGAGGACTAAGATGGAATGCCTCATTTCCAGTAAAAAGGGCCTCCGGCCACCTGCACTCACCAAACGAAACGCAGAGGTAAACCTCTACTTCACGCTGGTATTCTGTGAGGTCGTGGTACCACCCCGGTTCGAGCCGGCCCATCCGTGCGACAGCAAAAGCTGCCGCGTGGCTATACCACTGTTAAAAATTATGTAACTCTAAAGTGGTAAAGCTTAAATGATTTTCAATAAGTATTCTTGATGATTCTGTTCTACTCGTATTCTATTCCATTCTATGTAATATGTTCTAAGATTCCACCCGAACAGTCATTCACGAAAGCAAGTTAATAAAATCGTGGTGATTAGAATTATTGATACATTTACATATATACCTAGGTAGATTATATTTAATAATCCTGAAATGTAAAATAAGTACTACTAAATTAAGCCGCCGTCAGCGAAGAAATTGTTTATTGCAATGTTAAGTGCTGATTTACCACATGGTCGTCAGTGAAGGAAAAAAATAATATGAGGAATCGTGTATGCCAAAGTAATAAGAATATTTCGAAGACGTGATGTCTGCCAACGAACACACACTTAAGAATAATAATACCTGAGTAAAACTTGCTCTATAACTTTTTTATAGAATAAGTGTGACAAACGAGTACACAGTCCACCTGATGGTAAGTAGATGACTCATATACATCTACATTTATTATCGTTTAAGTATTAAAATAGACTCTGTGCTAGTGCTACACTACATATCTGCGCGTATTGACAGGGGTACCAGGTTTTTCTCTATTTTGACTTTCGAAAGGCGTTTGATAGTGTCAATAATAACATGCTTCTTGATAAGCTTGCAGTCATAGGCTTTGCCCCAGCTCTTCTTGGGTTAATCACAGACTAACTTCGCGATCGCCAGCAATATGTCAGACTCAATATGAGTAGTATATATATGACCCTTAAACACGCGCTTAGGTGTCAGCTACGAATCGATTCTCGCCCCTAAGCTCTTTTTGATTATGACAAACCCCATCCCAACAGTGATCGCACACTCGAAATGTTTGCTGTACGCAGATGATTTAATACTGTCCACGGAGATAAAATCAGTAGCCGATTGCGTGGCAATACAGTGATGTAAATGCTGTATTTCAGTGGTGTTGAGAATTTAACCTGGATAAATGTTACCTATATCAATGTTATTCGGTGTTGTTCCCATCCCTATATATCAACAATCATGTTATGACTCTGACCGACACTATAAAAGACCTGAGGGGTTATATTTTGATCGAAAGCTCACATTCCACGCTAATATAATAACTTTAGCAAACGAATCACACAAACGTTTGGGATTTGTTCTTAGAAATGCTAAAGAGCTACGTAACGATAGCGTATACGCCTAATATTCAGTGCTCTAATACGCTCAAAACTCGAAACTAGCTGTTATGTTTGGAATCCATATGAAAGTAGTTATATTTTTCTTGTGTATATGTAAAATGCCTTTTTACGTTATCTCTACAAGCCGCCTATATGGATACTATTAAAATTTATAACCTGCTAAATTTCTGCTCGGTTCTTTGAGTTACAACTCATTGCAGGTAGGGCGAGCGTATCACCAGCCATTATGGCGTGTAAATAAACCTAGCAAGCTAACAGCATAGCAAAGTGGCGAAGCAATCAGCTTTGTAGCGGTTTCTAACGGTTGCCGTTGAGCAATCAGTTTCAAAATATGAGGTTCAGATGCTTGGGTGATCAGTAATCGATTGCTGAAAACAGAATTTAAAAATTCAAAACCGTTCTCGAGATAATCGTGGGACAGACGGACAGACGGACAGATGGACAGACGGACAAACGGACAGACGGACAAACGGACAGACATCGTGAAATCAATAAGTGACTTCGCAAGCTTCGCCACTTCGTATGCAAGTGGACGCTCTAGACCTGAGTGCCGAACTGTGTCGATTTTTCTACCGACTTCAAAAAGGAGCCGGTATTCAATTCGACTGTATGTTTTATTTTATGTGTGTTACCTCATAAATTTTTATTTGGTGAACCAATTTCGATGATTCTTTTTTTATTTGAAAGCTGGTGCTTCACATGTGGGCCCATATAAATGATCAAGGTCTAACCAATAGCTTTTGAGTTATTCTTAATAATTTATATTGAAGTCGGTTGTACGAAATTTTTAATTAATACATATAAAGACATAAGTTTTTATTAAACTGCCAGTCCTAAAATAAAACGAGAAAAGAACGGCCGTATGTTTTACTGCGCGAGATAATTCTAAGTACCTACTCTCATATTTCTCACTACTGTCGTAGCTCGTAATGGCAAGCATAAATTTTTTGCCATACCATGGGCACGCAGCGTTGCGCGCGCCCTCTCGCCTGTTCCCCGTGTCCGCACTTAATGTTTGCGAATGAATAGACGGTAATATTGTCTGAATGCCTGAACTTTTGTGAGCGATAAGAATGAATATATTGTCTTTAATTAATGTTATTGGTTTAACCGTTTTAATTAAAGTAAAAGTAAATAAATAAGCTGCAAATTTACGCAGGTATTCTGTGAGAGAATGGTCCTCCTTGTTTAGGCCCAAATACAGGCATTTGATACGCCATCCAATCTCGTTCGACTTTGTGTATCACCCGATGGTGTGAGGTGAGGTAAACGCCGCTGAGGGGGGTGGGCGCGTGCCGCTTGCAGTCGCTCGACGTGCGGGCTGAAGACAGTAGCTTGAGAGCAGCGGTATGGTCAATTAGCGTATTTAGTGACCGCTGCATATATTTCGCGCGACCAGTTTTTTGGGTTTATGGTCTAGATTTTTAGTATTTGTGCGCGTTACTTCGCTACTGAATTTTATTTTCGTTGAGACCGCCTCGGTTTAGTTTGTCTAAGTTGTACGTTCATGACAAGAGGCTTGTATTGAATTTGACTGATTAAAGTAATTTCGTTTGAAAGTAATTGCGCCAATTATATAGTGATTGCGTGTTGAAGTGTATTTTGCAATATTTAACTTGCTTGTGTGACGTGGAATCTTGCGCGCGCGCCGGTTAGAGATACGGTCTAGAATTTGAAGCTCGCATTCCATTTCTAGGGCGTGGCCCGGTTGATTGTTTTTGGAAATCATTGTTTAATTGTACCGTCGCGTTAAGAGCCTTTTGTGTGTTGACTCTGTAGCTAGTTTGCTTGTCAGCTAGGTTGATTTGAATTCTTATTGTGGCGTAATATTTAATATCGTACGAAGGAATTTAGTTGTTGTTTGTAACGCTGAACTTTGTGACTCGTGAAGAGATCGCGTTAGCTCCCTATTTGTAATTTGGTGATAAATGAATCCGGAACATTAAATATTGAACTTTGAACTACTGTTTGTTACTTGTGTTGGGTATGACGTGTTTGATTCTACGATGAACGTTGAATTAGTTGAGTGAAGTTAGTTAAATGTACAATAAAGTTGATAGACTGAAAAGTGACATGAATAAAGAAGTTGTCACTTGGTGACAGGGAGTTTTTGAAAGCGGGTGGAAAACCGGTACTTGAAGTCCTTCAGAAGCTCTTTAATTCCGTCTTCCATGGTGGCACTGCAGCAGAAGCGCGGTGGTCTTGTTCTTCAAGAAAGGCGACAACGCTCTCTTAAAGAACTACAGACACATTTCCCTTCTGAGCAGCAATCGTCTCGCACACAGACTTGATGACTTTCAGCCTCCCGAACAAGTTTTTTCCGAAAAGGCTTTAGTACCATGGGCCACATACATACCCTGCGGCAAATTGTACAGAAGACAGAGGAGTATAATCTGCCACTTTGCCTTGCGTCTGTGGACTATGAGACAGCCTTTGATTCCGTCGAAATTTGGGTGGTGCTACAGTCCCTTCAGCGGTGCCAAGTTGACTGTCGGTATATCGAAGTGCTGAAGTGTTTGTACAGTAGAGCTACGATGGCATTTCACACCTATGCCGGTAGTTGTTGGGAGCACTAAGCTCGAAGTTGTTGACGAGTATGTTTACCTGGGACAAATAGTCCGACTAGGTAAATCCAACTTCGACCGAGAGGTCAATCGACGGGTTCAACTCGGTTGGGCAGCGTTCGGGAAATTACGGCACATCTTCTCGTCAGGTATACCTCAAAACTTGAAAACGAGACTGTACAACCAGTGCGTGTTGCCAGTGATGACATACGGAACTGAGACGTGGTCCTTCACTGCTGGCCGGATAAGGAAGCT